CCGCGCGCCTGAGAGAGGACATCTTGGCGAAGAGGAAGTTGCCAGGGTTGAGCTGCCAGCAGGCTGATTACCTCGGCTTACCAATACTTCGCTGGGCAATGGGGTGCCACCAGAATCAGAGACAGACCCTGTCTCTGCTCACCCTCTCTAGTACAGGCAGTTTCATCTCCACTGGGGGAAATGCATACAGCAGTACGTTGGGCCACGGGTGGGCTAGAGCGTCCACCCCCAGTGGGGCATTCTGATCCGTTATGGAAAAGAACAGAGGGCAGTGGGTGTTGGCCCCTGTGGCAAAGAGATCCACTGCTGCCCTGCCAAACATGGTCCAAATCTGGTCCACCACTGAGGGATGTAGCCTCCACTCCCTCACCATAGGTCTGCCCCTGGAGAGTAGATCTGGGCCCAGGTTCAGTCTCCCAGGAACGTGAGTGGCCCTGATAGACAGGAAATGCATGCTGCACCTCTGCAAGAGAGTGTGAGACAGTTCCAACGGGGGAAGAGACCACATTCCTCCCTGTCTGTTTATATATGACACTACAGTCGTGTTGTCTGTTCTGATCAGAACATGTTGGTTCTGCAGAACTGGACAAAATTGTTTCAGTGCTAACAGAACCRCTAACAATTCCAGGCAGTTTATGTGGAGTCTGRACTGCTTCAGAGTCCAAACCCCCCTCACTGCCACACCATTGCACAGAGCCCCCCACCCCACCAGGGAGGCGTCTGTGGATAACACTTTGTGAAAGGACACTCTCCCTATCTGTGAGCCTCGACATAGCAGGCCGGGTTCCCTCCAAGGACTGAGAGCCTTCATGCATGAGGCAGTTATCGTTAGCTTTCTGTGGCGGTGAYGTAATGCACACAGGTGGTGAGAGCGGGACCAACGCTGAAACCGGCGCATTTTTAGCAGCCCGAGTGGTACTACTGTGGTCATAGAAGCCATGATGCCTAACAGTTGAAGAATGGTCTGAAAACGCAGTTTGCGTCCCAGTTGAAACTGAGTGAGGCAGCGGTGAAACACAGCTACTCTGTTTTCTGAGAGACATGCTCTGCCCGACAGGGAGCATATTTCTAACCCGAGGAAAGAAAACTGGTGACTCGGACTCAACAAGCTTTTCTGAAAATTTACAGAAAAACCCAGAGCCTGAATGTGCGACAGAAMCTGAGACAGATGCTCTKTAGCTTGCTCCTTGGAGCTGGCTATCAGAGCCCAGTCGTCTAGGTACGCTAACAGGCGAACTCCTTTCTCCCTAAGAGGAGATAGTGCCGCTTCGACACATTTTGAAAAGGTGCAGGGTGCCAGCGACAGTTCGAATGGCAGCACCAGGTATTCATAGGCTACGCCTTCGAACGCAAACCTCAGAAATTTCCTGTGGTCCGGGTGAATCGCTACATGGAAGTAAGCGTCTGTTAAATCTACGGTCGCAAACCAGTCGCCCGGGCTGACCGAATGCAGAAGCTGCCTGAGTGTTAGCATTTTGAACCTGTATATTCGTAGAAACTTGTTTAACACTCTCAGGTCTAAAATCGGACGGAGGCCGCCGTCTTTTTTTGGAACAACAAAATAACGGCTGTACCAACCTTTGTTTACGGTATGTCCGAAGAGGGGACCACACGTATGGCTCCTTTCGCCAGTAGCGTGTTTATTTCCTCTCTCAAAACCACGGCTGCTTTGTTTCCAACAACAGTGTTTAACACAGTTTTGAAACAGGGCGGCCATATGCAGAACTGTAGTCGGTAACCCATTGCGACAGTTCTCTCCACCCACAATGACAGTCCCACAGTTAGGAGGACTGCGTCTTCTTCCTCCAAGGCGTTGTGCCTTTCTGAAGACCTGGAGGGGGGCCCTTGCTCCAAGCCAACTGGCGGGGGGGTTGGCCGTGGTGATGAGGCTGCGGTGGTTGGGAGCCTAAGCTCCCGGGCAGCACCGTTCTCTTCGCCGGAAGCGGCTGTGCGGCCGGCTTCTGAGTGCTGGTTTTGGGTCTCGAGTCCCGTCTGGGGATGATGCAGCGCAGAGCTTCTGCCTGCTTCTTCCTCAGCTCAAACTTTGCCTGAATAACGTCGAGAGACTGGCCGAATAACCAAGCTGCCATAACTGGCTCATCCAGGTATGTGGCCCGGTCTCTGTCGGGGACATCAGAGAGTGTCAACCACAAATGTCTCTGCGCCACCACGGTTGAAGCCATCCCTCTGCCCAGGGAGAGTGCTACGCCTACGACTACGAGGATGTAGTCCGCGGTGAGTCTGGTTTCATTTAAGAGGCAGCAGAGGACTCTCGGCCGGTACCTGGGCTCCGAGCTCCGCCAGGGCC